GAGAGAGACCAACCGGGATATGAGTATGAACCGGTGTGGGACTCTGTGAACCGACGGGCATCACCCGTGTATATAAGGGGACGACCCTGCGGCGGTTCAAAGACAGACAACAACAACTCGAGCCTAGGCGAAGCTTGTTTGCTCCCTAGCCATCAAAACCACATCAATTCCATCACAACTAGACGTAGGCTTTTACCTTCATCGAAGGGGCCGAACTAGTATAAACCCTTGTGTCTTTGTGTCCGCTTTAACCCCTTCAAGTTAACCCGTAGCGATGGCTCCACGACTAAGTCCTTTCACAAGGACATCTGCCGTGACAAATCCACGACATGTACCACACCTAATGTATGCGTTGCTATAAGCATAGCAGGGAGGTACCAAAGTAATCCTGGAGTGGAGCACTGGACAACGGTCAAGAAAATCCTGAAATACCTGAAAAGGAATAACGGTAAGTTTCTCGTTTATGGAGGTGAAAAAGAGCTCGTCGTAAATGGTTACGTCGATGCAAGCGTTGACACTGATCTAGATGACTCTAAGTCACAAACCGAATACGTGTTTTTATTGAATGGAGGAGCTGTCAGTTGGTGCAATTCCAAGCAGAGCATCGTGGAGGGATATACGTGTGAAGCGGAGTACATTGCTGCTTCGGAAGCAACAAATGAAGGAGTTTGGATGAAGGAGTTCATATCTGATCTAGGTGTCATACCTAGTGCATTGGGTCCAATGAAAATCTTTTGTGACTATACTGGTGCAATTGCCTTGGCAAAGGGATCCAGATTTCACAAGAGAACCAAGCACATCAAGAGGCGCTTCAATTCCATCTGTCATCAAGTGTCGAAAGGGGACACCGAAATTTGCAAGATACATATGACTCTGAATGTGGCAGACCTGTTGACTAAGCCTCTTCCACGAGCAAAACATGATCAGCACCAAAGCTCCATGGGTGTAAAAATCATTACTATGTAATCTAGATTAATGACTCTAGTGCAGGTGCGAGACTGAAGGAAATATGCCCTAGAGGCAATAATAAAGTTATTATTTATTTCCTTATTTCATTATAAATGTTTATTATTCATGCTAGAATTGTATTAACCGGAAACTTAGTACATGTGTGAACACATAGACAAAACCTATTGTCCCTAGTATGCCTCTACTAGACTAGATCGTTAATCAAAGATGGTTATGTTTCCTAACCATAGACATGCGTTGTCATTTGATGAGCGGGATCACATCATTAGGAGAATGATGTGATGGACGTGACCCATCCGTTAGCTTAGCATTATGATCGTTACAGTTTCATTGCTACTGCTTTCTTCATGACTTATACATGTTCCTCACACTATGAGATTATGCGACTCCCGAATACCGTAAGAACACTTTGTGTGCTACCAAACGTCATAACATAAAAGGGTGATTAGAAAGGTGCTCTACAGGTGTCTCCGAAGGTGTTTGTTGAGTTGGCATAGATCAAGATTAGGATTTGTCACTCCGTGTTTCGGAGAGGTATCTCTGGGCCCTCTCAGTAATGCTCATCACTATAAGCCTTGCAAGCATTGTGACTAATGAGTTAGTTGAGTGATGAAGTATTATGGAACAAGTAAAGAGACTTGCCGGTAACGAGATTGAACTAGGTATGATGATACCGACGATCGAATCTCGGGCAAGTAACATACCGATGACAAAGGGAACAACTTATGTTTTTATGTTGTTTGACCGATAAAGATCTTCGTAGAATATGTAGGAGCCAACATGATCATCCAGGTTCCGCTATTGGTTATTGACTGGACATGTGTCTCAGTCATGTCTACATAGTTCTTGAACCCATAGGGTCCGCACGCTTAACGTTCGATGGTGATTTTTATTATGAGTTATGTGATTTGATGACCGAAGTTTGTTCAGAGTCCCAGATGAGACCACGTACATGACGAGGAGTCTCGAAATGGTCGAGACATAAAGATTGATATATTTGACAGCTATATTCGGACACCGGAAGTGTTCCGGAGAAGTTTCGGATAAAAACCGAAGTGCCGGAGGGTTACCGGAACCCCCCGGGGGAACTAATCAGCCACTTGGGCCTTGGTGGAGAGAGAGAGAGGGGCGACCAGGGCAGGCCGCGCGCCTCCTCCCCTTGGGTCCGAATTGGACTAGGAGAGGGGGTGGCGCCCCCTTTCATTCTCCCTCTCCCTCTCCTTCCTTCCCCCTCTTTCCCTCTTGTTGGAATCCTACTAGGACTCCCCTTGTGGGGCGCGCCCTAGGAGGGTTGGCCGGCCTCCCCCTTGCTCCTTTATATACGGGGGCAGGGGGCACCCTAGAACACACAAGTTTCTCTTAACCGTGTGCGATGCCCCCCTCCACAGTTACACACCTCGATCATACCATCGTAGTGCTTAGGCGAAGCCCTGCGCCGGTAGCATCATCATCACTGTCGCCACGCCGTCGTGCTGACGGAACTCACCCTCGTCCTCAACTGGATCAAGAGCATGAGGGGCGTCATCGATCTGAACGTGTGCTGAACGCGGAAGTGCCGTATGTTCGGTACTTGGATCGGTTGAATTGCGAAGACGTTCGACTACATCAACCGCGTTATTGAAACGCTTCCGCTTTCGGTCTACGAGGGTACGTGGACACACTCTCCCCTCTCGTTGCTATGCATCACCTAGATAGATCTTGCATGATCGTATGAAAGTTTTTGAAATTACCACGTTCCCCAACAAACATCAATGTATGTTGTCACCAAAATTCAAAACATTGCTCAAGATACAAAAATGACAAATTTGACATCAATGTGCTAATGGGCCAAAACTGAAAATCAACTTGTGTTATGCACTATTTGGTGTCAAATTTATCATTTTTGTATCTCGAGCAGTGTTTTGAAAATTTGCGACAACATACATTGATGTTGTGTCAATGCACTAAAAAATTTCTGAATTTTTTCTAACATTTTTGAATGTGCAACGGGCCACCGGTGCACCGATAGCACCAATCGCCCCGGTGCACCAGATATATTCCCCCGAACAAAATACTCCCTCTGTTCCAAAATATAAGGTGTAATAGTTTATTGAAAAGTCAAATTTATTGACATCCACGATACTAAATAAAATATGAAAATTCATTTCATGATGAATCTAAAAATCCAATTTGATATTATGGATATTGATATATTTCTACACAAAGTGGTTAAACTTAAAGAGGTTTGACTTTTCAAAAAACTAATACACTTTATATTTTAAAATAGATGGAGTAAAAAAAATTATGAAAATCCAACAACATCAACGGCGCAACAAAGCGTGTCCAGCCCTTCTAGTTTTTAGGTAGTAAATACATACTTGGATCTGCTGGACTATTATGTTTGTTTCAAAAAACATAATTTGTTGACAAATTTGCTATTCAGTTCCTTCGGGAAGATCAAGACATGCATCAAAGAAACCGTAAAATCGCCTCAGGTTCTCTGATATATAAAAGTTGTTGATTTAAAGAGATAAGATAGCATATTGTACGTTATTAGAGCACCTCGAATGGATATTCCAATATGATCGTTCACATTTCATCATCCATATTATCCCTCCTATATTTTAATAATATAATATAACTATCATTTGAGTTGTATGGTATCCCTGTAGTAATATTCTTCTCTGTACATGGGCTAAATAAGGCGTGACCTTCCTAATTTGCACAGAAGGATGATCTTGCACAACCATGGAACAGCTAGCAGAATTAATATTTCGAGCTTTAACATGATTACTCCTTCATCTTCACCATATTCAAGGAAGATGTACTTCCTCAACGTATGAAGAATTCCTGACGCCTCACACACCTGTGTTCATCTATGTTGTACAAATTTTTTTTTTGAAAAGGGGGTTTGCCCCGGCCTCTGCATCAAAACGATGCATACGACCATGTCTCGTACAAAAATTTAAAACATGGATTGTGAAAAATCTTGTAAGCAAATGCAGCGGTGTGTATTTCACTCACTCACAATTTGAAGTAGGTGAGGGAACATGAACCTTGAAGTTCCCTGTTAGAACACCTTCTTTATGGGGGGCCAGAGCGCACTAGCGGAGAAGTAAGTGTTTCCAGTTATTTTTTATTTTTAATTTTTTTGCGGGTGAAGTGCTTCCAGTTTGTCAGATCCGATCCACTAAAGAAAACATTGGCTGGTGGATTGATTTTCTATGTTTTCCCTTCAAACCAAAGATATTGATTAAGCTTAACGTATGCAAAATCTAATTCAAATAAAACAAACTATGTATGAACCTAAACATACTATACTATATACACCTTTGGGAATGGTTACTGGTTCTTATTGGTACTTAGGGAAAAGTTTTGTGTGCTGGAGTGCCTACACATACTTGACCTTTTATATATGTAATGAATAGACATTTGGATTGGCTGGACAATATTAGGCGTCTCCGGCAGATCGACCAAAATATATCCTATCTCCATATGACTTATTGTTTGTATAGATTCTTCCTCCATATTTTCACACACAAAAAAGAGAAGATTCTTCCTCCATAACTCTTCCATCTCCATTGGATCATCTGTATTCTCTCTCCCATATTTTTATGTTTTCATATAATTATCACTTTGTTTTCAAAATACATAATTTCTTTTCTAAAAGATGTTTTTTCAAACACATGAGCATTATTTTCAAACACATGAGCATTGTTTTAAACATGAGATAAGATTTTATTTTACTATTTGATTTTATTTCAGCAATGCATATGCTTGAAACTTTTTTGGGGAATAAAAATATATTTTATAAATTAAAAATATATTTTAGGAAAGACATTTTGCGAAATAAAAAATGAATATATTTGGCCCATATTTTTCTTTAGTCCCCGTATATATTAAGTTATCTGTGCTTCATGGGGCGGGCTTGAAAAAAAAGTCTCCTTGCCTATCCAGCCCAGAGCGTCTGCCCATCCCAGCCCACTCCCTCTCTGTAGGGTAGGACCATTCTCCTCACTTCCCCGCAAACACACCCAGACCTAGCCACCACCATGGCAGCGCCGCCGCCGCCGGCGCTCCCGGACGAGCTCGTCCAAGAAATCCTCGCCCGCCTCCCGCCGGACGACCCAGCCTGCCTCCTCCGTGCCTTCCTCGTCTGCAAGGCCTGGGGTTGCGCCGTCTCCCTCCCCAGCTTCCGACGCCGCCTCCACGACCTCCACCGACCACCCCCCTTGCTTGGGTTCCTTCCCAACTGGGCTAGCGAGGGCACTCCCAGCTTCATCCCCACCACCGCCTCATCCTTCTCCCTCGGCGCTCCGGACTGCCTCAGGTGGCGGGCCCTCGACTGCCGCCACGGCCGCGCCCTCTTCTTCTCCGTGAACCAGGACGCTAGGACACTCCTAGTGTGGGAGCCAATCACGGGCGCCCGGAAGCGCTTTCCGGTGCCCGCAGCGTTCGAAATCACATACGCTGCTGAGTTCCCGAGCAACCGCCCGATTGCGGCTGTGTTGTGCGCGGCGGACGGGTGCGAGCACCGCGACTGCTTCGGGGGTCCTTTCCGCGTGGTCTTCCTCTTCGAGGATGACACCGCGGAGGAGGAGCAGAATTGTGTCATCTGGGCGTGCGAATACTCGTCTGAGACTGGTGCCTGGGGCGAACTGACCTCGTTGCACACCAAGTTCTTCAAGGAAGTCACAGAAAATTCCAGCGTGCTCCTTGGCAGATCTCTCTACTTTGTGGCCACTAAGTCTATTCTGGAGTATGATTTGGAAGGGCACGCCATGACTCTGTTCAGCCCACCAGACAACTGCGACTGCCTACATCTTAATCTCATGCTGACGGAGGACGGTGGACTGGGAGCTATTGTACAGGATTTTGGTACGTGTCTCGAGCTGTGGACAAGAGAGGTGAGTGACAGCACTGATACACGATGGGTGCTGAGCCGGGTCATGGACCTGCGCAATTTGCTCCCAACTAGTACTCGCTTGAATCGAGGTTTTACAGTGCGCGTCATGGGCTTCATTGAGGGAGCAAACATCATTTTTGTTAACTCAGAGGTTGCTGGCATCTTTACAATTGAGCTGCGATCAGAGCAGGTGAGGAAGGTGTGTGATGATTGTGGCTTTGGTGGTTTGGTTCCAGTTGTCACCTACACTCCTGTGCCTCAAGGCTACCACCAAAATCTGCTGGTGTCCAAGCCTAGTGAGGAGGCAGGTGGTGAGGAGGGGGGAGAGGGGAAGAAGACAGTAGATCAGGCACAACAGCTGTTCGACAAAGGGTCCAATTCTATCAATGCTGGGGACTTGGTCAACACCTTCGAATCCATCAGCCTTGACCATGGTATCAGGTGAGGGCTCTATTTCCAAACTCCTCCCCTATTCTGAGCTACGCAGAAACATTTGTACGGATGTTATTGTGGAACTAAACTTTCCCTTAGTTCAGTCAGTAGTACCCTTTATGATTAGCACACTATGCCCTTTGCTGCTTTGTGCTTTGACTCGTTTTGTTTGGAAGATGAGTTAAGAGCAGTTTTAGATGTTCTAGGACGATGTCGTTGCCAAGCGGTTTATCTTATGATTGGCGACGAGCCCAGCTGCGTTTGAGGGGTTCAGCGAGTCAAATTAACCTTACTACTTTTTTTTCCGATGGCAGAGTTAGGACCTGGCATCTTTTGTCATGATATGTGTATTGCGATGAACATTAAATGAAAGCGCATTTATTGGAAGGATAGGTTGTTATCTTATTCAACAAGAGTTATATACCCCTGGTGCTGGCTAGTCTGTTGTTATAAACAGCAGAGAACAGAACATTGTCAGATCTTGTGTCATCAAAATGGTTGATGGAATAAATGTAGCTGTGTTGTTCTACCTCAGATTGCAGTAACTTTCATGGGCTTGTGTTATCTATAACTTAGTAATAATAGACTGAAAATTTACACCTTTGTTTTCACCTAGGGTTCCAGGCTATGGGGAAGTTGCTCCGGCCTGTGCTAGCATATTTGACAAATATGGATGTGCATACAAAGCTCAAAAGGTGAATGATTCTTTGTATTCTGTCCCCAAGAGTGCACCAAATGAAGAATTGGTGAAGGGCACAACCAGTGAAGATGATGCTGGGGACTCAATGACCTCTGGTAGCAAGTGTTGAAGATGCTGCTCCATCTTCGGAGAAAGGTAATTCTCGAGAAGGTATTGTATATCACTGTTCCTTTCTTTGGACCAGTGGTGGTGCCAGGGCTGCACAACTGTGTGGTGAAATGCTTTATTTTCTCTGAAGTTTACATTGCTCACTAGGTTTTTGTATGAAGTTTCACTTCTATGGAATGGTAACTTTTGGGATCAACTGGCTCCACAGTTTAAACATAAAAAATGGCTATGTGATCCTGCATATGCAAACTAGCAGTAGTCTTGTTTGGAATTTGGAAGGAGTTGTTTGCTGTCTGGACTTGTCTCGTGAATTCTGATCATTGTTCCATAGAAGACCATTTATAATGTAATTCTTATATAATACTCCCTCCGTCCCAAAATAAGTGACTCTACTTTGTACAAAGTTAGTACAAAGTTGAGTCACTTATTTTGGGACGGAGGGAGTAATATAGAGTAGATGATGTAACTCATAGCAGAAAATGCTTTCATTTCTCAAAAAAACTTGTGCCATGGGTTGACCATATCTTGAACTTGTGTCTGGTGCCATATGTCAGCCATTTGCATTCTAAATTTAAATACCTATAATTTTATCTTTCTTACATATAGGAATAGCAATGCCAGTTTGAACAAAATATGGATCTATGCATATCATAATGTCAAGTCTCTGCCGGACACTCTCCAAAAGCGACTAGCAACATATATTCACTGTCTGAAATGTGATTCAGCTAGATATAGAATTCTGAAATTGCCATGATATGCCTGAGACACGGTATTAGTTGTTTCTGCTGCATGTTCATGTTGCCTCAATGGTCAATCCCATCTGTTGATTTGTGTACAAGTACCTAGATGGAAGCTGCTGCCATTCATTATTTGATATGTTGATTTTTTTTTCTTATGCCATTGCAACATTTGCCATGTTCAGTATCCAATTGCAATGTATGTCATGCTCCATTATTTGCTCTTTGCTGTAATGAGAGTTTCTTTGCATTGTCTAGGAGGGTCATATAAACCATTTTGCCTGTTCCTCGTGCATGTATAATCAGTTGCCATTTGAGGAAAAATCGCATGTATTACTCAAGTCATTCAGCATTACATGCCTTTTGAAGGAGTTTAGCTTTCCATATATATCTGATGTTGTACTAACATCTCACAATTTGTTGTTATGTGCTGCTAGTGCTACGCTGATGGTCAGGCCGGACGTTTCATCGGTCAAGTCATTCAGCGCTTTCAGTAGGATATCTTTCTTCTCTGCAGCTGGGAAGTATGATCATTTTTCATGGTATTGTAGTTTAGGGTCCAGACTACATGTAGGTACCAGAGGTGGCACCTGAAAGAACCTAGTAAGTGAATGCTGCTGAAGACTTTCTACTGGCCGTTGGGATTAAAAATTTTAGTCGGTCCTACTTGTACCTGATAGTTTATGTGCAGTGATGCTGATTCAGGCCCTGTTTGCTGACATGATCCTATTGCATCTTCAAGAAATTGTTTAACCAATGTTGACATGTTTCATCAGTTGCGAGAAAACAATACTGTGTTCTCCCTCTGTTTCTTTCTGAGAATTCCTCGTGTTCCCTGACTTCTGCTGGAGGTTCTCTGTTTTAATCATGTGTGTAGAAGTTTCATCGTAACGAAATACTAGCAAGTACTAGTACGGAAATGAATTTTCGTTTACATGCTGGCCAGAATGGAGCTGAGGACATTGACCCTGATGTTGCTGCTATGATGAGATTCAGAGGGTTCGGCACCTCAAAGATGTGAATGTTGCTCAGCTGCTATATGCACCTGGAACTCGAGATAGCGTCAGTCAGGCACAACTCCTGCAGAGTGGCGATTTTGAAAGAAAAAAAAAATGATGTATGCTGTGCTACCTGAGAATGCCGGTGCAAAGAAGAGAACGATCATATCTGAGAAATATTTCATCTTCCAGAAATATGCTACGTATGTACGAAGGTTTAAGTACTCTGTTTTCCCTCTCACTGTTTCTCAGTACTTGTGTTTTTCTACTTTTGCTAGTTCTCTGTCTGAAAACTAAAAAAATGTTTGAAAGTAGTTTATTTCGTAGCAACTAAAATCACATATCACTGTAGCTAGTTCTGAGATGCAGGCCATTCTGTGAAGACAAGTGCATATTTTTCCAAATCAGCACTTATAATCAATGCATCTGCTGTGCAAGATAATATTCGTCCGTGATTTAACGAAGGAGGGGAGCCGGCCGCAATCAGCAGGTACTCTCCGGAGCCATGCCCTCTGCCTTGCTCTCGCACAGTCGGCGCCGCCGCTATGACCTACTGCCTTTGATTGGAATTACTTGTCTCGGAAATGGATGTATCTAGATGTACTTTAGTTCTATATACATCCGTTTCCGAGACAAGTAATTCCGAACGGAGGGGGTATGAGTTAGAGGATTGTGCAGTCGCCGCTGCCGCTATGAGCTAGAATTGCACTATCGCCGCTTGATAGGGTTTTGGGGGAATCAGACGGGGTAGAGAGACGAGTCGGGCCGGGAGAGAGGGCTGGTTTGGCCTTTCCTTTTTTGCGTGTGGTATAGCTTGGGGTAATTCCCTCCACCTAAAAAAATTGACTGCCTAGAGGCTGACAGGAGTTTTTTTTTCGAAACGGAGGCAAAGATTGCCTCATCTATTAATTAATAGATGAGGCAATCTTTGCCTACATAAGTGTCAAAAAAGGCATAAAATTTGGACTTACTGTTGGATAAGGAAGAAAAAAAATCAGAGTAAAATAGGGAAGAAAAATTAAGATGATGTTAAATAAGGAATTATCTCTTCCCAATTCCATGCCACACCTACACCCAGATTTAGCGCACCATGGCAGCAGCGCTGCCGTCGCTCCCGGACGATCTTGTCCAAGAGATCCTCCTCCGCTTCCCGACCGACGACCCGACCTGCCTCCTCCGATCCTCACTCGTCTGCAAGGCCTGGAGCGGCATTATTTCCTGCCACGACTTTCACTGCCGCCTCCACGAGCTCCACCGGGCACCACCTCGGCTTCCTCCACAGCGGGACGAGTGAGGGCACCCCCTGCTTCATCCCCACAACTGCATCGTCCTTCTCCCTCGCTTCCCCGAACCACTACTCGTGGCTGGCCCTCGACTGCCGCCATGGCCGCGCCCTCTTCCTCTCCAGATCTCAGGATGTTGAGGAACTCCTCGTCTGGAAGCCAATCATGGGTACCCAAGAGCGTGTACCGGTGCCCATAGCGTTTGAGTTCGGCTACTCGGCTGCGACCGTGTTCTGCATAGTGGATGGGTGTGACCATCGCGATTGCCTTGGGGGTCCTTTCTGCATGCTTTTCGTCTTCTCCTCTAAGGAAGACGCCGACGAGGGTGTCACGTCGACATGCATATACTCGTCGGAGACTGGTGCCTGGGGCGGGCTGACCACGATGCACGGCGAGTTCATAGGATTTACAGAATATTCCACCGTGCTCGTTGGCAACTCTCTGCTCTACTTCATCGTCTATGACTATAAGGACAGTGAGATGATCCTAGAGTATGACTTGTCAAGGCACTTCCTGACTATGTTTAGTGTACCAGACAACCACTGTGACTGCATATACACTCTCATGGTGACGGAGGGCGGTGGGCCGGGAGTAATCCAAGACTTGCATCGGCATGTCAAGTTGTGGACAAGAGAGGTGAGTGATGGCGCTGATGCACAATGGTTGCTGAGCCGGGTCATCTACCTGCACAATTTGCTCCCAGCTAGTGCTCGAGGTTATAGAGTGCAGGTGATGGGCTTTGCTGAGGGAGCAAATGCCATTTTTGTTAGTACGGTTGTCGGCCTGTTTGCAATTGATCTACAATCCGAGCAGGCAAGGAAGGTGTCTGATCATTGTGGCTTCAGATTCCATAAATTGGTTCCAGTTGTCACCTTCTACACTCCTGCGCCCTGAGGCGACCACCAGAATTTGCTGGTGTCGAAGCCTAGTGAGGAGGCAGGTGGTAAGGAGGTGGGAGAGGGGGAGAAAACAATACATAAGGCACAACAGCTATTCGACAAGGGGTCCAATGCTATCAATGAGGGGGAATATGTCAACACATTCAAGTGCATCAGCCACGGCAATAATGGCAGGTGAGGGCTCCATTCCCGAACACCTCCCCTATTCCGAGCTATGCTAAAACATTTGTATGGATGCGATTATGGAATAAAACTTCCAGTTAGTTCGGTGCACTTTGAGAATAGCACAATGTTCCCTTAGTTGCTTTGGACTTTAAGTCGTTATATTCAACAAATGAGTTCAGAATAGTTTTAGATGTTTTAGCCTTCTAGGACGATGTAGTTTCCAAGTTGTCTATCCTTTGTTTTGTGGCGAGCCATTGCATTTGAGGAGTTTAGTGAGCCGAATTAACCTTAATGTTTTTCGATGGCGGTACTTGAGAGTTAGGGCCTAGCATCTTTTGTCATGATATGTGTGTTCTCATGAGCACTAAATCAAAGTGCAGTTATTGAATGGATAGGTGTTATCCTATTCGAGAAGAGTTGTATACCTCTGGTGTTGTTTGGTCTGTTGTTAGAAAAAACAGTCAAAAGAACATAGTTAGCACCTAATGCCAAAATGGCTGATAGAATAATTGTAGTTGTGCCATTCTACCTCAGAATTTGAGTAACTTTTGAGGTCTTGTGTTATCTACAAACTTAACCATTATAGGCGGGAAAAATTACACCTTTGTTTTCACCTAGGGTTCCGCACCATGGGGAAGTTGCTTTGGGATGTGCTGCCAGGATCAAAAAATACACATACAATGCGCAAGAGATGGATGACTCTTTGGATGATGTTCCTAAGAGTGCGTCAAGTGAAGAATCGTTGAAGGGCACAGCCAGCAAAGATGATACTGACGACTCAAATACATCTGGAAGCAATGTTGAGGTAGCTGCTCCATCTTCTGAGAAAGGTAATTCTCAAGAAGGTATTGTATAGCATTGTCCCTTTCTTTGCCCCAGTGGTGATGCCGTAAAATACTTTTTCCATTGGAATTTGCATTGTTCTCTAGGTTTCTGTATGAAATTTCAGTTCTGCGGAATAGTTTTGCAAAAAAAAAAACCTTTTGGATCAACCAGCCCCATGGTTTTAATGACCCACTGCCACTACCACCAGATAGCCATATACAGTTATACACACAGAAAAAATGGCCATTTAATCCTGCACGGACAAAAAAATGTCTTGTTTGGGACTTGAAAGGAATTGTTTGTTGTTTGTACTTTTTTCGTGAGTTCTCATCACCATTCAATAGAATACCATTTAATATATGCTGTTCTGGGAACAATTCATTTTTAATAATATAGATAGTAGATGATGTTGTTGAAAGAAGACAATGCTTTCATTTCTGGAAGAAATGTTCCATAGGTGGACCCTATCTTGAACTTGTATCTGGTGCCGTATGTCAGCCATTTGCCTTCTAAATTTGTATACATATATTTTTATCTCTCCTACATATACACTTAAAATAGCAATGCCATTTTGACATATATGGACGTATCTAAATAATGTACTTGCACAACTTAGTTTTTACTACATAGCTCCTGTTTTCAGCAATCGTCTTACATACATAAGTTATGAAATAATGTAAATAGTTGGTGTTAAATGAACTGGTCTATTACTATCATGATCGTGCTATGATGATTAAGTTGTGACATTTAAGCATTTGTATGCATCTCTTTCTGTTGATATTGTTTTATGGCAACAACAGAAGCTCAAGAAGCATTGTAAATAACCTTGGGGTTGTAGGCAGAGGCTTCAAATGTGGTGATGTGGCTTCAAATATGGTAATGTCAAGTCCCTGCCGAACCTTGCCGAACCTTCTCCAAAAGAGACTTGTTCACCATATGAAACGTTCAATACCCAATTCCAAATTCTGTCATCAGTCATGCCTATTATGCTCTGGAAAGACCATCAATGTTTGGTCTTTACTGCGATGAGAATGTGCTCTTGAAAGTGCGTCATGTCGACTAGAGGGGGGTGAATAGGCGATTTTTATGAATTCTTCACTGAGGAATTTGCCCGTGAGTAAATTCCTTAGCGAAGAACTATTAGCAGCGGAATAAGTACTCAGAAGTAAGCATAACAGAATACAAGCATGGTCATCATGATGAAATGAAGACTAGCATAGAGTACAGAAAGTGTAATCACAGGATAACACAAGATGAAGACAAACAGACTGAAGAAATTGAACTGAGGAAATTGAGAAAGTCTTCAGTCAAAGTCTTCAAACACAGATATGAACAAACACTCAACACAGTAATGAGGAAATGAAAGGGTTGAGGAAATAGAACCAGTTAGGTTGGTGAAGACAATGATTTGGTAGACCAGTTCCAACTGCTGTCTCAGTTGTACGTCTGGTTGGAGCGGCTGAGTATTTAAACTCGAGGACACGCAGTCCCGGACACCCAGTCTCTGAGCACGCAGCTCAGGACACCCAGTCCTCACCGTATTCTCCTTGAACTAAGATCACGCAGATCTCGTCCAATCACTCGTGGTAAGTCTTCAGGCGACTTCCAAACCTTCACAGACTTGGTCACTCGGCAATCCACAATTCCTTTTGGATGCTCTAGACCTTGACGCCTAACCGTCTGGAAGAAGCACAGTCTTCAAAGGTAACAAGCGTCGGATCCACGCAGGATCAATTTCTTCAATGATGCTCAATCACTTTGGGTTTGTAGGGGTTTGGTTTTGGGTTTTCTCACTTGATGATTTTCGCTCAAAGTCCTCGGAGGATGGGTTGCTCTCAAATGACAAGTGTCAAGTTCTCTCGGAGCAACCAACCAGCTAGTGGTTGTAGGGGGCGGCTATTTATAGCCTAGGGAGCAGCCCGACATGATAAGACATAAATGCCCCTCAATGATATGACCGTTAGGTGGATAAGATATTTTGGGACAGCTGGCGCGCAGCACAGCAACGGTCGGAAATTTGACTCTCAAATTCCTCAGGGCTATCATGTTCCTCACTGTGTAGGCAATCCGCACTGGCGAATTCTTAACTCTTCAGTCAGAGCAAATTCATCAGCAACTAGAAGAACTTCGTCTCTGTCACTGAAGAAAGTGACTGAACTGTATGAGATTTCCAAAGGCTTCACTCGAAGGGATTGGTAGGTGTAGGATTTTGAGTTGAGCATCACATGGAAATTTTTCCTTAGTATTTCCTCGATCCCCTTTAACAGTACGGTGTTTCCTATGACTCAAGAAAGAGAAAATGAAACTACGAAAACAAAAGTCTTCACGCTTCATGTTCCACAAATGAATACCAAGTCTTCAAGGTCACACCAATTTCTTCACTTTCAAAGTCTTCAGAAAGTCTTCAGAATATCAAAGTTTTCAATTGAAGAACTTCATTTTTAGGGGTCGACTTTCTCTGTAAATATCAAACTTCTCATAGACTTATAGACCTGTGTACACTCACAAACGCATTAGTTCCTTAACCTATAAGTCTTCAATACACCAAAATCACTAAGGGGCACTAGATGCACTTACAATCTCCCCTTTTTTGGTGATTGATGACAACATAGGTTAAGTTTTCAACGGGGATAAACATATGAAGTGTATACACTGATATTGAGGAATTTGATTACAAGATATAGTAGAACTCCCCTGAAGATGTGCATAGTGAGGAATTTTCTTTTGAGGCAATGCACATTTGAAGAGTTGAATCATGGAGATCTCCCCTTATATCTTGTAATTCATACACGCATTTGATATATAATATGAAGAATTTGAAATGCATGATAAAATATGGTGCCTGATGAGATTCAGCATGCGTGAAATGTCATTAACGAGGAATAAGCATGCAAAGCATAATGCAACAAAAGTATCAGCGCACCATCGGGTTTAAGATTACAACTCGATCCAAATAAGAGTTTCTGAAGAACGAGAGTTGTAACTTAAAAAAATGCCCTTAATATAGACCCGCTTGAAGACTAACTCAGATGTCTCCCCCTTTGTCATCAAATGACCAAAAGGATTGAAACTGAGGACTAACGCCCCTGAAGAATTTTAAGTTGATGGAGGAGCCCAAGCGTTGTCAGGGTTGTTTGTTGTAGCAGGGCCTACCGCAGTGTCGTCCAAATCTTCATATTCATCAGTCTCGCGTGATGAAGAATAGGAGCTGGCCACCAAGGAAGGAACTTTGACCTTCTTGAATTTCTTCGGTGGAGGTGCAGACCAGTCAAATTCTTTCTTGAGACTCATATTCTTTAGATCTGCAGCGCTGTAGACATGAGAGAGAACAGCCCAGGTACGGTTGAAGGTTTCATGGAGGTAGTATTGGTTTTTCTTCACAGCATTGTGTGTTGAGGTCATGTTGTGAAGAATTGAACCAAACTGACGCTTTACCCATTTGTGATTGCGATCAACCTTCTGATGAAGACTGAGGAGTAACTCACGGTCAGTCATCACCCTGGGAGCTGTGGCTTGAGGATTTTGCTTGGCTGAGGTATTTGCGGCAGAGTCATGTGTGGCAGAATCGTCATTGGTAGAGTATGATGGTGCCTTGCGAAATTGACCATCCAATGGACGAATGCCTTCATCGATCACAGCAGCGGCCTTGCCTTTAGCATCAGCTGATGAAACTGTCCGTTTGAGGACTTCAATGGGAGGCAAGTAGCTACCGTGGTTCAGAGTGTCAGCTTTATAATTCAGTGAAGATCTTGCCCTGATGAATCTCATAATCCAAGGATCATAGGGCTTCAGCTCGAATGGTGACATAACAATGTTGGCCAGAGTCCTCATGAAGAAATCATGAAAGTTGACGGGAACGCCATGAATGATGTTGAAAAGCATATTCTTCATGATGCCAACGACTTCTTCATCATTTGAGTCGTCGCCTTTGATGGGACTCATTGTCTTCGTCAGAATTCGATAGACAGTCCGAGGCACATAGAGTAATTCCTTGACGAGGAATTTGGTTCGTGGGGCCTGCCTTGGCTTCAAAGGCTTCATCAATACTTGCATATAGTGATCTGAAAGTTCTGCTTCATTGTAGACACAACGAGCACCATCAAGTGGAGGACTGAGAGGAAGGACGCAAAGCAATTCAGTTGCTGGTGCCTTGTAGTGAGTGTTTTCAGACATCCAGTCCAACACCCATGAGTTCACGTCTTCAGCGTCTCCGGTGATGTGCAGAGTTGCATAGAATTGAAGAATGAGTTCTTCATTCCAGTCATAGATATCAATGCAGAAATTCAGAAGTCCTGCGTCGTGAAGAACACTAAGGACTGGCTCAAAGCCGGGCAGAGATTCCATGTCCACATGAGGAATATGTGCATGATCCAAGACTTTGTCTTTGGCGAAAAACACTGAGGAATAGAAATTGGCTTGGCTGGCAGTCCAGAAACGCCTCTTCCTTATGCGAGCAGAATCATATGGATTATAATCAGTGAAGAATACGTGCTCGGCAAAGAAATCTTCAGCCTTGAACTTTTGTTTGCTTGAGAACGGATCCTTTGGCTTTGGCGGAGGGGTGTCAGTGAGTTGCATTACCACCTCAGGAATCGCGAGCTCAGGTTCTTCAGTTTGAGGAATTTCTTGTTCCTCAACAGGTGCAGTCTGAGGATCAGTAGCAGCAGGTTCATCAGCACTAGTGGCTGGAATTTCTTCATGGACAGATGACGCGGGATGAGTTTCTTCAGAGCCCATGTGAACCGTTGGTGCAGGGGACTGAGGTATCTGTTGGAGTGGGGTGAAGAGTGGAGAATTTGGATGTCGACTTTCCCAAAAGTCATCGTTCATCACTGGCGTTGTGCTTCCAATATCCACATCTTCTTCAAGTTCCTCAACACCGGCCTCTTCAGCTGTGAACTGAGGCATATGCGAGGAAATGATTGGAGTTGAAGGGATTGCGTCCACTTCAATTTCTTCATCAATCTTCTCTGAAGAAGCAGCAGAATGATTTTCTTCATCAGATCCGCTTAGGATCTTA